CTTGAAGGCATATCATTCTGAAATAAATTCCACAGGAGCGGACCAAAATACGAGCCCTGTGGATAGCCTAATACCCTATTCTTCCAGTCACTAGTGACATCGCTATTTTAACCCTGTTGAGCTTGCTGTCGAAGTATGATCTCAGAAGGTTGAGGGAGTTATGTTCGAAGCCATAAGCCTTCAGCTTCTTTACAATAAGAGAATGGCAAAGAGAATCAAAGGCTTTACTCATATCGTTAGTTAGGATATATGCGAGTTCCTTTCTATCGAAGCTGATTTCCAATCTTCTACTAAACTAAGAGTTGATTTCTAGTGTCGCGCAACTTTTACGTGCGTACGTGCGTAAAATTTACGTTCGCAAATAAAATAAAGACAATGCATGAAAGGTCGCTCGTAAGCGTAAAAGTTGAACCTCGCTCAACTTCCCGTTTAAGCTCGGCACTTTTTTTCTTGCCTCTATTACATTTACGTGATTAAAAATTTACGTGCGTTAACGTGCGTAGCCAAAAACCCGTCAGTGGAAATCAACCTTAAGCAAAGTGGTCTGACAGCTATGGTAAAAATCCGTGAGCCCCAAACTTAAACATTGCAAATTTTGCAGGAGCACCTAGGGCTTTCCACAAGTTGCTCGGCGACTTTTTGGCAACCTCTCGTATTTCGAGCAACTTTTTGCAATGTGAGCAATTTCTCTACTTATCTTCTAATTCAGAGATATCGGAAAACCAGTGAACATATTCTATTGATAACAATGCTAACTATCAAAATGCTATTTACAATTAATTCACTTTTAAAAAAAACTATTCCGTAAAGACAATATTTACAATTCCTTTCGTTAAAAAAAACACACTTAGTTTTGATTAGAAAGAATTCATTTAATTAAAAAAAAATATTCCAATTAAAAACATTTCATTTCAATTAAAACAATCCCTTTCGATTAAAAAAAAAAAAACTATTTTCAAGGTCGATTTCATTCTTAATAAGAAAATCACTTTAAAAAAAAGGAGAATTAAATAGCGTTCTCAATGTGTTATTGACCAATATTTGCCATTTACAAGTAAGGAAACACATCAATAGTCCAATTGAATGGCTCCTTCAAACGTCAACAAATAAACGTCAAACGCTAATAATCTTCAATGTTAAGCCATGTTTGGGCTTATAGAAGATAATGTCACACTTTTTCAATGACCATGAAATTCAGAATCCGGTAGTTAGTTAATCAATCGTGGCCCTGAAAAATTTTTAAGTTTTTAAGAAAATGCTTTTTTCTTGAGAAGGACTCTTAAACGCTTACAAACGTCAACAAATATCTAAAACTATAATTTCTATATGTTTGCATTGCTCGAAATCGCGCGCAATTACAAGGCCCTGAAGCTTTTTGCTGATTTTCAAAGACCCATCTGTTATAAAGATCCCCAAAATAAAGGGAAAAATCAATAGTAGAGGAGGGATGTCTTACTCCTTTTCTTTGCGGGGGAATCCCATTAACTTTCGGGGGAATAAATTAACTCAGATGACGTCATGCATCTCATTAAGATAGGATGATGTCATACTTTAAATTAATGCCCATGACGTCACGCATGCCGTTAAGATAGGATGATGTCATAGTTTATTTTTAGCTGGCTGACGTCATGCATGTCATATAGATAGGATGATGCCATAGTTTATTTGTAGCTGGCAAGGAGCAAGTAACGTCAGATTTTCCTAGAATTGACGTCATCAAAAAATGTCGAGATCAGAATCTATAAACAGAAAAGTGATTTTTATATAATTAGCTATTTGCTACAGTCTTCTGATTAGATATTGTTTGCTATAGTCTTCTGATTGGATATTGTAAAAACTGTTGTCATGTCTTCAAAATAAAAGCGGGCAAATTTTGAATGTGTTATCTTTGCAGATTATACTAAATTAAAAATCTTTAATCATTAAATTATTTTAACTAAAAATCGATTATAAACAAAACCAAGAAACGGAGGTTAACCGAAAAATCTTTACTTCAAAAGAAGGGAAAAGGAGGTTAAGCGAATGCGAAATCGTACTAATCTTTCAGGCAAAACATGCAAACGAGGTCGAAGCTCAGCGAAGCGAAAAACTGCCTATCAAGCAAAAATGTCATTTTTTGTTTACTTGACTCTGTAGAAAGTATTGCAGAGGGTATGAAAATTCTATAGAAAACAACAGGTGGTTCTAAAGTAAACCTTAACTCTTTTGGTTCTTAAATCAACTCCATTCCTGTTCCTAATGAGTGGAAAGTTTATTTATAAAAATAGGAATAAGAGGTGCGATCGCCTGGCAACACATGTGTTCTTGTTTAGCGCTAAAAATCGGATATATAAACAAAACACACACACACACATACACAGAGTGGAGCTGAAAACTCTCTATTTCAATTTTGACTCACCATAACGAAAGCGTTTTCTCCGTTCTATCTCGAGGAAACGACTTACTATTGAAATCTCAGCGCTTGATGAGCTTATGGTCGCCGTTATTCAGTTAATTATGCGGGTTAACAAGCCCAAACTTGAATATAAATTAGTTCATCTCTACAGCTAGACCCAAGGGAGCACCTTGACTTATTATTGTAAAAACACAAACAATTAATAACTTAAGAAGGATCAATTAAAACACGCGACAAATAAATTGACAAGACAAGAGATACAGTTTTAAAAACTTTATTGAAAACCAGTGACAAAAAGAGTCGAATACACAGCGATTTGAAAGAGATGGAAATTAATCATCTTCTTCGTTCTCCTCTTTAGAAGGTGAATAGAAATTGGTTTCCAACGTCTTGGCGTTTTTGTGTGTAATTAATCCACAATCGTGACACCGAAGAAAGCCTTCTTTGATGTATTTTCTCTCCTCGGGGATCTGGTGATCGCATATAGGACAAATGTTGTAGTTATCGTGCGAAAAGCATTTAGGATATTTCATCATCAATGTGGAGTACACATTAGAGTTTTCGCAATGTTCACAGGGACTTTTAGAGTGAAAAGTGGTGGACGTTTCAGGGCTACTACTTTGTGTTTCCTCACTATCGTTTTCAGTGTCGTTGTCGCTCTCTTGGGTGCCTTCAGTTTCAACGCCATTCTCAGAAGCCACTTCCTCCTCCTCCTCCTGATTTTCAATATCCGATGAACTCTCCTCATTATTACTCTCATTATCGGAAGTATTTTCTACATTTCGGTAGCCTTTTTCCTTTTCTATTAAATCACTTAACAACTTTTTGTTCTTGATTAAACCTTTATCGATTCCTAACTCTGCAAGTCGCATTCAGCGCACGAGGCTTGGTAACCTCATTGTTATGGGGGAGTAACACATACCCAACTAGGTCGGCGATGTTTGTGACGGTAATAGTGCGTTTATTTCGTAGTAATTATCCGATGGGAGTCCAGAAAAGAATATCTTTGGACGCGGCCATACTATGCAGCAAATCAGAAGCACGCTTTTCCGACACTGCTCGGGAAAGATGACTCAAAACATCTTTTATTCTTGGTTCTTCATCCTCGCTTTCATCACCAGAACGTTCGCCTTCTTCATGTTCACTCTCGTGTTCTTCTTCAACCAAATCTATCTTTCTCTTCTTTTAGATGAGTACCCGTGACAGACCGTAGCTTCAAATGAGTAACTTATAGTTTCGTTTCCTCTTTTATAGCATCAAAATTCCTAGACTTGTAACAGCAGGTACCAATAGGTCTTGAATAAAACCATCACCCTCTTGTACAAGGATTCGCTTCTTTGTTTTGTAAGGGACATTTGTTTCTGCTAGGTTTACTAGAGCATCCTTATATGGCAACACGTTCCGCTTATTTTCTTCGGGGTTAAGAATGTATTCCTTAAGTATATTGTATAAGACTTGGACTAATGCATGTAGTTGTTGTGGACTGGCTGTCCGTAAAAGAAACTGTCGCTGATGAGCTGGACAAACAGCTAAGAGTTGAAGAAACCCACGATTGTTCTTGACAACTTGAGACATTGCGACAAACTGAACGTATGATAGTAGTTTGCAGTCTTTTATTGACCGCCGTGGAGTAAAACAATGGAAATGTGGTGGTGGCGGTGGAGGAAAACAATAGAATTGTGGCCGCGGTGGCGGTGGTGGAAGGAAAACAATAGAATTGTGGTGGCGGTGGTGGTTGTGGAGGGAAAACAATAGAAATATGTGGTGGCGGTGGTGGTGGTGGAGGGAAAACAATAGAATTGTGGTGGCGGTGGTGGTGGGGGTGGTGGAGGGAAAACAATAGAATTGTGGTGGCGGTGGTGGTGGTGAACGGAAAACAATAGAAATATGTGGTGGTGGAGGAAAACTATTGAATTTTATAGCCTTCAAAACTATATCAATGCGCATTATGCTACCATTTTCTCAGTCTACCTTCTGCTCCTGAGGAGTTGACATGAGTTGGCTCTGTTCTGTCTGCCAAAAATCATTTAGTACAAAGGATAGCATACAAAGGCACGTGATGTCTAAACACCACAATGTTGGTCTCACCCCATTTCAAACAGTTCCAATATTTTCACAGAAATGTCAGCGGTTTCGCTTCGAGCACCCTTTCACCTCCATGATTGCCGGAATGACCGGGTCCGGAAAAACGGCCTGGGTTCGATCGCTGTTGCAACAAGCTTCAGAGACCATGTACCCTCCCCCGGAGAGGATCGTTTGGTGTTATTCACAATGGCAGCCTGCGTATACAGAAATGCTAGTCGCCATGCCAAACATTGAATTCGTCAAGGGAATTCCTACGGCTTTGGAGCAGGATTCCTATTTTGACGTGAACAAACGAAATTTGATCGTGTTTGATGATCAGATGATTGACGCCAGTAAAGACAAGTGAATTGTGAACCTCCTTACTCGTGATTCTCATCATCGCAATCTGAGCGTGATTTATATCGTGCAGAATCTATTTCATCAGGGGAAAGGTAGCCGCAGCATAAGCCTAAACAGCCATTATCTGGTGTTATTCAAGAATCCACGAGACAAATTGCAAATCCTGACTCTGGCGAAGCAAATGTATCCCGGGCAAACTGATTTCTTTTTAAATCAGTACGAGGAGGCTGTAAAAAGACCTTTTGGTTATCTGCTGATTGATCTGAAAACTACTACCCAAGATAATTGTCGACTGCGAACAAACGTCCTGCCCAGTGAAGAAGGCTTTAACCAAGCAGGGTTTCAAGAAAATATTCCTCAAGAGCTTCTAAAATATCTGAAGCAGCAAACTCTTTCGCCTGTCCCGCTTCTTCCAGCTATGCAAGAAATACAAGGCAACATGGATGACGTGCTTTCTCGAAACGATCTTGGGGACGATGAAAAAGCTAAACGATACCTTCAGTTGCAGAACAGATACCTGGCTTTTAACGAACAATTAAATACAAGAACACGACCGGAAAAAATAATCAGCACCGTTCCAGACTTAACATCAAATACACAAGATTCTCCGACAGCAACGACAGCATTCTCGACTCCCCTCAACCCCTTTAATGAAACACCTGAATTAACAGAAGCGGCTATCTCTGAAAAACCTGACAAAGAAAGCCTCACCCCTCCACCACCCTTAAATTCTGCTTTCCTGACCCCTCCTCCCACAGTAGAAACCCCATCACAACAAGGCCCGAAGCGCAAAAGGCGTCGGATTCAATTTCTAAATTATTTGGATGATCATAAATCTCATGGCAAACAGCTGAAGAAACGTCGGCATAAGAAATTTCGAGTTAGACCTTACAAGTACTCCATGGGCGAAGAAGATGATTAATTTCCATGTCTTTCAAATCGCTGTGTATTCGACTCTTTTTGTCACTGGTTTTCAATAAAGTTTTTAAAACTGTATCTCGTGTCTTGTCAATTTATTTGTCGCGTGTTTTAATTGATCCTTGTTAAGTTATTAATTGTTTGTGTTTTTACAGTAATAAGTCAAGGTGCTTCCTTGGGTCTAGCTGTAGAGATGAACTAATTTATATTCAAGTTTGGGCTTGTTAACCCGCATAATTAACTGACTAACGGCGACCATAAGCTCATCAAGCGCTGAGATTTTAATAGTTAGTCGTTTCCTCGAGATAGAACGGAGAAAACGCTTTCGTTATGGTGAGTCAAAATTGAAATAGAGAGTTTTCAGCTCCACTCTATGTATGCGTGTGTGTGTTTTGTTTATATATCCAATTTTTAGCGCTAAACAAGAACACATGTGTTGCCAGGCGATCGCACCTCTTATTCCTATTTTTATAAATAAACTTTCCACTCATTAGGAACAAGAATGGAGTTGATTTAAGAACCAAAAGAGTTAGGGTTTACTTTAGAACCACCTGTTGTTTTCTATAGAATTTTCATACCCTCTGCAATACTTTCTACAGAGTCAAGTAAGCAAAAAATGACATTTTTGCTTGATAGGCAGTTTTTCGCTTCGCTGAGCTTCGACCTCGTTTGCATGTTTTGCCTGAAAGATTAGTACGATTTCGCATTCGCTTAACCTCCTTTCCCCTTCTTTTGAAGTAAAGATTTTTCGGTTAACCTCCGTTTCTTGGTTTTGTTTATAACCGATTTTTAGTTAAAATAATTTAATGATTAAAGATTTTTAATTTAGTATAATCTGCAAAGATAACACATTCAAAATTTGCCCGCTTTTATGACAACAGTTTTTACAATATCCAATCAGAAGACTATAGCAAACAACATCTAATCAGAAGACTGTAGCAAATAGCTAATTATATAAAAATCACTTTTCTGTTTATAGATTATGATCTCGACATTTTTTGATGACGTCAACTCTAGAAAATTCTGACGTCACTTGCTCCTTGCCAGCTACAAATAAACTATGACATCATCCTATCTATATGACATGCATGACGTCAGCCAGCTAAAAATAAACTATGACATCATCGTATCTTAACGGCATACGTGACGTCATCGGCATTAATTTAAAGTATGACATCATCCTATCTTAATGAGCTGCATGACGTGATCTGCGTTAATTTATTCCCCCGAAAGTTAATGGGATTCCCCCGCAAAGAAAAGGAGTAAAACATCCCTCCTCTACTACTAAAATCTCATAGTTTATTAGATATAATCATTGAAAGTTTGCTTATCATTTTCACATAAATTATGACCTACCTTTGGAAACCGCTGAATGTCTCGCATTGGGTCTTTGCGATTTTGGTGAAACCCTGTTCAACGCAAGGCACTAATGCGAACTATATGTAGCCGAGAGATTTTCACGAAAAAATGTCGGCAACAGCAAAATTTCGACTCATACCCCAAAGAGGCGTGGCACTATAACCACGTGGCATTTATTCCGATCGCCAAAGATTTTATGTTATATTGTAGATTGATCTATATGTTATCCATGCATGTTATATGTTAAACTAACGATCGAAATTAAGGTGGGGATACCACAGAGCTTCAAAGTAGGATGGTACCCTCACAAAATAACTGGGTCGAGTCACCTTAAAGAAATACAGTCGAACCTTCCTTAAGCAACCACCCAAAATGCGAAGACTTAGTGGTCGCTAACGGGAGGAGGTCGCTTACGAAAATCGAACCACTTCCAAGAAAAAGTCCGGACACATCTACTTTAGATAAGGGAATTTATTGCATGCAATTTCCAAGTTCCGACATGTGCAGTTCCGTGTTGTTACTAAACGTCTTCGTATACTCTAAGTACCATAGTGTACACAGAGACCATAAGAGATCAGAAAACTCGTCAAGTGGTCGCTTACAAGAGGTTAAAAACAATAGAAAATTATTAAACCGTCAGCCCCAAATAGTGGTCGCGGTCGCTTACAGGAGGTGGTCGTTTACGAGAGGTTCTAACAGTAAGACCTAAACTGGGTAAGTTTTGGCGTTTTGGATAAGTTGTCGCTTATGGGAGGTGGTCGCTTACGAGAGGTGGTCGCACATGGAGGTTCAACCGTAGGCGGATTCATCGTGACATCATTGTTTATACTTTTGCTCATAAGCATACGAGTTAACCCTTAGAAGATATACCAATTAGGTTTAAAAAAAAAAGGGCTGGTTATATTATAGAGTTTGTCAGTCAGCTCTTTGCAATTAGTAACAAAAAACAGCAGCAATTAAAAACTGCAGAATTGCTGGGTGGCAAAACGTTAATGAGCTCACATATCTTTCTAAATTTTGGGGTTTTTCAAAGAGAATTTCTCCGTAACTATTTTGTAAATCGGGCTCAAATTTTCAGAGATAACTGAAATTGTTGTGCTCTTTCAATACTCAGAAATTTAATTTTATTTGCTTCATCAGATAATGATAAACCTATGCTAATAAGGCGGAGAATGTAAACAAGGATTCGCCTAAAATTTTGGCCACGCAAGATGGTCGATTTATTGCTTAAATATAACTAATAATCTTCAAACAAAATTAATGAGCTATAATTATTTGAGTTTTTTACGCTCTGGCAAAGGTGAGGGCACGAGAAAAAGGCACCAAGAGTAAATAAAGTACCATAAAGAAAGAGGCGGAGGAAGGGAGGAGGAGTGTCAAATTCGCAGAGCGTGTTAAGTCTGGAGACCAAGAGGAAGACTTCGAGGAACACACCTTAACCTTAAATGAAGTCGAGGCTAAGTCGGTACTTTTCCGGACGAGCTCGTGACTAAAAGTTTTACAGCTAGCAATATTCCGGCAAGAAATTTACCAGCTAGTGATTTTCCGATTTACCTCGCGACAAACTTGTGATCAATACCTGACTATTTTGTGTCAAAAATATCCCACGATACTACACACTAAACGTTCCAAAAAGATATATGGTAATGAATGAATTGAGTTCAACACGGTAGTAACAAAGTCTTGCTACTGACAAGTAGCACGGCAAAGCTACTAGGTAGTAGCACGACGTTGTTTCAAAAGTCGTGCCACTGTCGTGCTTAAGTCGATTTTTTTTCCCAACAACTGAGTTTGGCACGGCAGTAAAACGACGTTTGAAACAGGCCTAAGTTATCGTTGCGAGCGTAAACAGCAATCAAGGTGGTTCTGTTACTGCTTTGTGACGTAGAATGCGTGAGCCCCACGATTTACAAAAAAATTTGGGGCTGAAATATACTTTTATTTGGGTTTGAAAAGGAGCGACGTTAAATACAACGACATTTCATTTTCATTGTTTCAAGCTAAAAAGTAACATTGTGTAGGGGGTAGGGGTAAGGAAAAGAGGAGAGGATTGTAGTCCCCCTACTTTCAAAACTGTTGTGCTGTCCATGTGCAAACGGGAAACGGCGAACTATGGCAAAAGTGAAAATAATCAGTGATACTAGTAATTACTGGCATTATAAGAAAAAATAAAAAAGGGGGTACCTCGCGTAGATACTGCGAAGTTATTTCCACTCTGGTTGCGTCCAGTTACATCTTCCCTCTGTGAAGAAATAAATAAAGTTTTAATGGTTGCTTCAACTTTTAGCACACTGTTTTTTAAGAATTAAGCAGAAATTTGAGCGCTTGTGTTGTTAGTTTCTAAGTACACCTGAACGCTTTAGCTTTTCTCTCTTGCTTTTTGTAGAACGAGTCGCAGTTTGGGGAATTTTGCAGGCGCAAGAATGTAACTGTTGAAAAGAAGTTACAGACAGGTTTATAGCATTGAAGGGATTGGCCGTTTTTATGCTAGAGACGTTAAAGTCGTCTCAGACGTTAAAGTCGTCTTAAGACGACTAGTACGGTAAATAAGGCAGACGACTTTAACGTCTGACGACTTTAACGTCTTCTGTTAAGTGCGTCCGAACGGCGCACTTAACAGACGATTTTAACGTACGTCTCAGACGTTAAAATCGTCTGGTATAAAGACGGGACGTCGTAAACTAGGACGTATTTATGCTCGACTCGTCCAGAGACGACTTGGACGAGTGCAAAACAACATGGCGGCCAAGAAGAGCATGAAGGAGTCTCGTGGTAGAAAGTGGAGTGAGGATGAACTTAAGGAGTTTGCATCTGTTCTCGCAGACGACCGAACTGAATTTGCATTAACTTTGGAGACTCTTGCACTCAAAAAGTCAGCTAATGTTCATATTTTTGAAGCCATTAAGAAACAGTTAGATACTCGTTTACAAGCGAAGACAACAACCAGTTCTAAGAAAGGAAAAGCAAAGGAAATCGATTCATCAGTTGTTAAGCTACGAGCAAAATATAAATGGCTGAAAGAGCGGTGGAGAAAAAATTTGTTCGCATTTCGCGGGCTTCAAGTTCATTTTTAGCGCCGCTTTAACTCGTGTCCAGTGTCTTCCGAGAGTAGAGCCTAGTCCTTTTTTCAGAAAATCTACTTTTTTAAATAAGGTCGTCTACTTTTGTCCGTCCCGTTTTTACACTAGACGACTTTAACGTCTCAGACGTTAAATGCGTCTAGACGACTTTAACGTCTCTAGCATAAAAACGGCCATTATGATGGTTGTTTGTTTGAATCGTAAACATAATCTTAAAATAAAATCTAAAACAGTAAATCAATAACCTCAGTGAGGGATTACAATTTGGATGAATTACTTGTTCGGAATATACAAGAACAAACCTGAGTAAGAGCAATCCTGCTTTCTTGCACATCTGAGAATGCGAACCAATGTACGAACATCTCTTTGTGAATCCTGCAATCTGCACAAACAACATTCCTAT